CACCTCTAATCCCAGAACTTTGAGAGGCTGAGGTGGGCGGATCACGAGGTCAGGAGATCGAGACCATCCTGGCTAACACAGTGAAACCTCGTCTCTACTAAAAATACAAAAAATTAGTTGAGTGTGGGGGTACATGCCTGTAATTCCAGCTACTCAGAAGTCTGAGGCATCAAGAATCACTTGAACCCGGGAGGCAGAGGTTGCAGTGAGCCGAGATCATGCCACTGCACTCCAGCCTGGGCAACAGAGCAAGACTCCATTTCAAAAAAAAAAAAAAAAAATTACAAGAAAAGAAACTTGGACTTAAAGCTTTCCTGAGGTTTTAAATAAAGTTTCCTTCCCACACCACATCATTACCACCATATGTGCTCCCCTTCAAAATGATACTGTTAGGCACAAGAGGCACTATTTAACTTACCCCAGCAACCACCCCTACATATTGGCTACATAGGAAAGAGATCCAGCTCCCTTCAGTTTTCCCTAAAGGTGACCGAAGTGTGTCTGAGAAGATGAAAGTATGCCTTCTACAGAACTTCACCCATCACCCAACCACATCCATTCACCTATTCATTTATTCATTTAAGGAACACGTTTTGCACATATGCTAAGTCACTGTGCTAACTTAGTCACTTTTTGCCCCAGTACTTTTTTTTTTTTTTGAGACGGAGTTTCACTCTTGTCGCCCAGGCTGGAGTGCAATGGCGTGATCTCGGCTCACTGCAACCTCCGCCTCCGGGGTTCAAGCGATTCTCCTGAGTAGCTGGGATTACATGCAGCTGCCACCACGCCCAACTAATTTTTGTATTTTTAGTGGAGACGGGGTTTCACCATGTTGACCAGGCTGGTCTTGAACTCCGGACATCCAGTGATCCACCCGCCTCGGCCTCCCAAAGTGCTGGGATTATAGGCATGAGCCACCACACCCAGCCCCCATGCTAACTTTCAAGATTATTTTAGAATGCTCAACTATGGTCATAGAAAAAAATTAGATTAAAATAAGTTTTAATCACAGGAACACCAATGTGTGTGGCTTGCTTTGGAATTCCTTAGCTGTTATCTGATTTGAAACACCCTAAGCGTATCTTTGTTTGCAACTTGGGTTCCCATATGGTGCTTGCAGAGAAAGACAAGGCCAGCCCAAGGGCTGTCAGAACTCTTTTCAATTACAGTTGCTATTGAGAATTCATAAATAGGCATTATGGACTCCTTTATTTGTGTGATAAATTCATGGATTATGAGACACAACATGGAAATTCTTGGTTCCAAAAACAAACTAGAAGGGTTTGTCCCAAAGTAGTATTGAGTTCAACATTTTTTTTTGCTTTTATTATTATTATTAGTAGTAGTGTGTGTGTGTGTGTGTGTGTGTGTGTGTGTGTGTGTGTATATATATAATTGTATTATTGCACTTTAGGTTCTGGAGTACATGTGCAAAACAGGCAGGATTGTTGCATAGGTACCTACATGGCAATGTGGTTTGCCGCCTCCATCCCCCCGTCACCTATATCTGGCATTTCTCCCCATGTTATCCTTCCCCGACCTCCCCACTCCCCGCTGTCCCTCTCTTGGTCCTCCTCAACAGACCCCAATGTGTGATGTTCCCCTCCCTGTGTCCATGTGTTCTCATTGTTCAACACCTGCCTATGAGTGAGAACACGCAGGGTTTGATTTTCTGTTCTTGTGTCAGTTTGCTGAAAATGATGGTTTCCAGATTCATCCATGTCCCTACAAAGGACACAAACTCATTGTTTTTTATGGCTGCATAGTATTCCATGGTATATACATGCCACATTTACCTTGACCAGTCTATCATCAATGGGCATTTGGGTAGGTTCCAGGTCTTTGCTTTTGTAAACAGTGCCACTATGAACGTACATGTCCATGTGTCTTTATAATAGAACAATTTATAATCCTTTGGGTATATACCAGTAATGGGATTTCTGGGTCAAATGGAATTTCTATTTCTAGGTCCTTGAGGAATCGCCACACTGTCTTCCACAATGCTTGAACTAATTTACACTCCCACCAACAGTGTAAAAGTGTTCCTGTTTCTCCACATCCTCTCCAGCATCTGTTGTCTCCCGATTTTTTAGTGATCGCCATTCTAACTGGCGTGAGATGGTATCTCAATGTGGTTTTGATTTGCATTTCTCTAATGACCAGTGATGATGAGCATTTTTTCATATGTTTGTTGGCCTAATCAATGTCTTCTTTTGAAAAGTGTCTGTTCATATCCTTCACTGACTTTTGAATGGGTTTGTTTGTTTTTTTCTGGTAAATCTGTTTTAGTTCTTTGTAGATTCTGGATATCAGCCCTTTGTCATATGGGTAGATTGCAAAAATTTTTTCCCATTCTGTTGGTTGCTGGTTCACTCTAATGATTGCTTCTTTTGCTGTGCAGAAGCTCTTAAATTTAATTAGCTCCCATATGTTTATTTTGGCTTTTGTTGCCAGTGCTTTTGGAGTTTTAGTCATGAAGTCCTTGCCTATGCCTGTCTCCTGAATGGTTTTGCCTAGGTTTTCTTCTAGGGTTTTTATGGTATTAGGTGGAGTTAATTTTAGTGTAAGGTGTCAGGAAGGTGTCCAGTTTCTGCTTTCTCCACACGGCTAGCCAGTTTTCCCAACACCATTTATTAAACAGGGAATCCTTTCCCCATTGCTTGTTTTTGTCAGCTTTGTCAAAGATCAGATGGTTGTAGATGTGTGGCATTGCCTCCAAGACCTCTGTTCTGTTCCATTGGCCTATATCTCTATTTTGGTACCAGTACCATGCTGTTTTGATTACCGTAGCCTTGTAGTATAGTTTGAAGTCAGGTAGCGTGATGCCTCCAGCTTTGTTCTTTTTGCTTAGAATTGTCTTGGCTATGTGGGCTCTCTTTTGGTTCCATATGAAGTTTAAGTTTTTTTTTCCAGTTCTGTGAAGAGGGTCATAGGTAGCTTGATGGGATAGCATTGAATCTGTAAATTACTTTGGGCAGTATGGCCATTGTCACAATATTGATTCTTCCTAACAATGAGCATAGAATGTTTTTCCATCTGTTTGTGTCCTCTCTTATTTCCTTGATCAGTGGTTTGTAGTTCTCCTTGAAGAGGTCCTTTACATCCTTTGTTAGTTGTATTCCTAGGTATTTTATTCTCTTCATAGCAATTGTGAATGGCAGTTCGTTCTTGATTTGGCTCTCTTTAAGTCTGTTATTGGTGTATAATAATGCTTGTGATTTCTGCACATTGATTTTGTATACTGAGACTTCGCTGAAGCTGCTTATCAGTTTAAGGAGATTTTGGGCTGAGATGATGGGGTCTTCTAAAAATATGGAACACTTCACAAATTTACGTGTCATCCTTGTGCAGGGGCTATGCAAATCTTCTCTGTATCATTCAAATTTTCGTATATGTGCTGCCGAAGTGAGAACTGATTTTATATATTTTTAATTGACATGTAATAATTATACATATTTTGGGGTACATGTGGTATTTTGATATATGTATATAATATGTAATGATGAAGTCAGGGTAACTGGCATATCCATCACTTCAAACATTTATCATTTTTTGTCTTGAGTATATTCAAAATCTGTTCTTGGCCAGGTGTGGTGGCTTACACCCATAATCCCAGCACTTTGGGAGGCCAAGGCAGGTGGATCACCTGAGGTCAGGAGTTTGAGACCAGCCTGGCCAACATGGTGAAACCCCATCTCTACTAAAAATACAAAAAAAAAAAAGTTAGCTCGGCATGGTGGCACATGCCTGTAGTACCAGCTACTCGGGAGGCTGAGGCAGGAGAATCACTTGAACCTGAGAGTCCGAGGTTGCAGTGAGCTGAGATCCTGCCACTGCACTCCAGCCTGGGTGACAGAGCAAGACTTCGTCTCAAAAACCAAACAAACAAACAAAATAATCTGTTCTTTTTGCTATTTGAAAATCGTCAATAAATTGTTGCTAATTATAATAGTCACCCTAGGGTGCTATAGAACACTAGAGAAGTTCAACAACATTCATTAAGCTCTTTGTGTTAAGCACTGTGTGAATCCAAAGATAAGCAGGTGACAAAAACAAGCAATGGTGAAAGGACTCCCCATTCAATTAATGGTGCTGGGATAACTGGTTAGCCAAATGCAGAAGATTGAAACTGGACCCCTCCTTACACTATATACAAAAATCAACTCAAGATGAATTAAAGACTTAATTGTAAAACACAAAACTATAAAAACCCTGGAAGACAACCTAGGCAAGACCATCCTGGACATAGCAATGGACAAAGATTTCATAATGAAGATGCCAAAAGCAAACACAACAAAAGCAAAAATTGAGAAATGGGATCTAATCAAACTAAAGAGCTCCTACACAGCAAAAGAAACTGTCAAAAGCGTTAACAGACAACCTACAGAATGGGAGAAAAAATTTGCAAATTATGCATCTGACAAAGGTCTAATATTCAGCATTTACAAGAAATTTTAAGCAAATTTACAAGAGAAAAACAACCCCATTAAAAAGTGGACAAAGGACATGAAGAGACAGTTTTCAAAAGAAGATATACATATGGCCAACAAGCATATGAAGAAAAGCTCAATATTACAGATACTGAGAAATGCAAATGAAAACCACAAAGAGATGCCATCTCACACCACTCAGAATGGCTATTACTAAGAAGTCAAAAAATAACAGATGCTGATGAAGTTGTGGAGAAAAGGGAACACTTATACACTGTTGGTGGCAGTATAAATTAGTTCAACCATTATGGAAAGCAGTGTGGTGCTTCCTTAAGGAACTAAAAGCAGAACTGCCATTCAATCCAGGAATCTCATTACTGAGTATATAACCAGAGGACTATAAATCATTCCACCATAAAGACACATGCACGTGAATGTTTATTTCAACACTATTCACAATAGCAAAGACATGGAGTCAACCTAAATGCCCGTCAATAATAGACTGGATAAAGAAAATGTGGTACAAATACACCATGGAATACTATGCAGCCATAAAAAATAATGAGATCATATCTTTTACAGGAACATAGATGAAACTGGAGGCCATTATCCTTAGTAAACTAATGCAGAAATAGAAAACCAAATACCACAAGTTCTCACTTACAAGAGGGAGCCAAATGATGAAAACGTATGGATACATAGAGGGGAACAACACACACTGGGGCCTATTGGAGGGTGGAGGGTGAAAGCAGCAAGAGCATTAGAAAAAATAACCATTGGGTACTAGGCTTAGTACCTAGGTGACTAATCTGTACAGCAAACCCCCATGACACAAGTTTACCTGTATAACAAACCTGCACATGTATCCCCCAAGCTAAAATAAAAGTTTTTTAAAAAGATAAGCAAGACACATTCCAGCACTTCCAAAGCCTATCTGCAGATGAGACAAGCCAACAAATGACTAATATAATCAATAAAGATACAAGATATAATAAAGAAAAGAAGAAAGAAAAATATACAAAGATCTTGAATTTGGGCACCCCCTATGTGGGAGTCACTTTTGTCTCTATTATCTCATTTAATGCTCACAACAATCCTATGAGGTCGCCATTTTGTAATCCTGTCTTATTGATGAGAAAAACTGCAGAGGCCATGGCCACACAACTAGCAAGTGGAGGAGTCCCAGCCTGCTTGGCTCCAAAGTGCAGGCTCTTTCCCTTTCAACCTTCCATCTCCCATAGTGCCACAACAGAAGTATGAAAAGAGTGCTGCTTGGCAGGGGGCAGTGGCTCATGCCTGTAATCGCAGCACTTTGTGAGGCTGAGGCTGGCGGATCACCTGAGGTCGGGAGTTCGAGATCAGCCTGACCAACATGGAGAAACCCCGTCTCT